CAGGAGGCAAAGTGGAAGAAGGCACCTTCTTCACAAGGCAGCAGGAGAGACAGAGCTCCTCTTCTTTTTTGTCATAAAGTCTACAGAAGTGCTTATACTTCAGGGCAAGGGCAGGCATGGAGAAGAAAGGACATTGCTTCACCCCAGCCCTCACTGACAAGTTGGCTAGGGGACTTCACTTTTTCCCAGTGTAGGGGCAGGGCTCTGGCCACTACCCATTCAAAAGGCCTGGGCTGCATTGCTAGTTCCCCACTACCTCTGTGTGACCTTGGACAAAGCTGGGCCTGTGTCAAAGATTATGACCCTGGGCTCTCAAACTAGAGGATCTAAATATGAATCCTGGCTCTGCTAGAGCAATTAGTGATGTAACTTTGGATGGGTCAGTTAACCCCGTGGCTTAGTTTGCTCATATGCAAAATAGGCATCATAACAATATCAATACCATGGGGTTGTTGGACAGATTGAATCAGTTAATGCAGGGCAAGTACTTAGCATGACACATATTCACTATCATTTCCTTGGGTAAGAGCTGTCTGTGAGTGGGTGTGACAATGTGTGAAACCCTCTCTCTGCAATCTCAGTTAAGAAACCAATCCAGAATTTGAAGTTCAGGGTCTAAATGGGTGGCTGTCTTCTCCCAGTTCCATCCTATCTCACCTTGCTCTTCCTCCTGCTCACAGGAGCTGTTGTCCTTGATTAGGCTGGAAGACCTGGTGGACCCTAGGTGATCTATAAGAGAAGGAGAATAGAGGACAGGGAATGTCTTCGAAAATCCTAGAGGGACACAGAGGCTGAGAGGCAGGCAGTCCTGCAGGGGTCTTCTGAAAGGGACAAAGAGGACCTTGGTCTTCATAGGCCAATTCTGGTCAATTTCCCCCATGAACAGATGAGGAAACAGGCCCAGGAATATCCAAGGTCTCACACTTTCCATCTGTCAAGTCCTGTTGATTCTGTTGTGTTCATGTCTTTCAAAGAGAGATACAGTTTAGGGAAAGAAAGGAGGATCAACTGTGTCTGACACCATTGAGAGCTTAAGTAAAGAGTTCTTTTACATTATATCATTAATCCCAATTTGTAATTCAGTATAATTTGTGTGGCTGTTTGCTATCTCTTTCTCCTATTAGAGAGCTAGCTTCATAAGGGCAAGGATTCTGATTCTTTAATATTTAGTGCTTGCCACATGCCCTGAATACAGCAAGTACACAGGCTAACCAACATACAGTGGCTTCGAAGTAAGGCACCTACCTCATCCCGTACCTAGAGTACATGTCCATGGACCTGTCACTCTCCTCAACACCACCCCCAAGCATGAGGCCCAAAAGCATTGGCTACTCCCCTTCTCCAGCCACCAAAACTTAAAGGCCAGGTGTGGTGGCTCCCATCTGAAATCCCAGAACTTTAGGAGACAGCAGCAAGAGGATCACTTGAGGCTGGGAATTTGAGACGAGCCTGGGCAACATAGCTAGACCCCATCTGTACTACAAATTAGCTGGACATGGTCGCAAGCCTAGTACCAGTTACTAAGGAGGCTGAGGTAGGAGGATCACTTGAATCAGGAGGTGGAAGCAACAGTGAGCTATAACCACAACACTGAACTCCAGCCTGAGTAACAGAGTGAGACCCTGTCTCAAAACAATTTTAAAAATAAATAAATAAAAACAAAATTTAGATACCACCTGGTCACCCTGACCTGTAAAATCAAGTTTGCCACTACTGAGAAGAATGGGGACTTGAGAGCTGAGTTACAGAGAAATAATCTTCCCCTTCTTTTTTTTGTTTGTTTACATCCTCAAGATCATGACCTGTGAAATTTGAATCTAATACACAAATCATTTCAGAGCAATGTTGCCTCCCCATACCACCAGCAATTCACTTGGCCACTGGAAGTCAGGACAAGCTTCCCAGAAGAGAGGTACCACTTGGGCTACCAATATAAAAGGATGCAAATATTGGAGTGACGGTGTTCCTTGCATCACTGAGTCCCTGGACAGCCTGTCCACTGATGCTGATATCTGAGCCTAGTGCTTCTCTGAATGTGGAGATTTAACTTTGACCCAATGAAGCTAGACCAAGAAAGAAGAAAAGTCTGTCGTTGTTGACAAGGACATTATATTTTTCATAGTTTTGGGATTATTTTTCCTTAGCTATACTATAATTATCTGCTTATTTGTCTCTTCTCCATGTGCTTAGGGTACAAAGTTGACCAAGACCAAGAATAATGTCTGGGAGCACAGTACTGAGAGCACAGCTTTAAAAACATGATAAATGCTTTAATACAGGAAATGAGTAGGGGAGAGGCATGTGGTGGTTTCGTGTTCTTCAAATATATAGTATCTTCCTTGACACATTCAGTGCAGCTCTCAGTAGGCAAGTCCCTACATGTTAGAAGATGTTACCCTCTGTGGAATTAAGTGGCAGAACATACCTTCAATTATTTTCCTTTGCAGAACAACACTAATTGCATTAGTTAGGACACAGTGCTGGATGCATTTGAGTTCCAAGCAATGATTAGTCTATCACCGTTGGTATAGACTACAAACAGTCAGACCACCTCCTGAAGTGTGTAAGGCAGGTAAATCTTCATCTTAGAATAAAAATCATCTTAGCCAAGTATGTGTTTTAGAGAGGAAAGAAGAAAACATATTCGTTTCCACAAGAGTTTTGTTTCTTAAAAAAAAAAAAATAGGAAAGGCTCTGGGTTTAGGTGAGCTAATGAAGTTGTTGATAGTCATCAGATGACACTGGAATCTTTGCCTCTCTGAGTGTGTTTGTGCACCTCTCAGTGTGGGAACATAGAGAGGGAGATCCTCCAGCAACGCCACTGATATGGTCAGAAACTACATCTTTCTTTCTCGCTGCTGAGATGAGATGGAGTCCTTTGTTCTAGAAGACCACAGGGGTGCTGCTGGGAGTAACCCTTGAGACAGGAACACGAATCTTGACCAATTTGTGGTTGCAGCCTTGAGTCTCACTATTTCCCATGGTGATGCTTAGCAGGGAATGGCAGGTGCACCAGAGCAGCAGAGGACCTTCCATCTCCCTTCCTGTTAGCTTTTTGTAATGTTTTATTGTGATCAGTAGCAGCTGGGAAGCTACTTGCAATCACTGAGCCTCAGTTTCTACATCTGTAAACTGGGGATAGTAGCATGGCCCTATTTAATGTGCTCAGCGAAGCCACTGAAAGGAGACAGATATGTATCAGAATTCTCTGAACTTTTATCCTACTTATGGGGATTGTCAATCACCTTCCCATGTCTGTCCTGTGTTGGTTTGACACTTGTCACTTCTTAGGTACCTCTCTGTAGGGCTCCTTTATTCCAGGGATTCCAGAGTTATGGCACATGCCTCCATTCAAGAATGTTTATGTGTCTCCTGCTTCACTAGGCTGTCCCCAAGGAAGATGTGGCTCTCAGCACACACCTGGCACAACACTATACATGATATTCATGCACTTGGCCTAGAATCTGACACGGAATTTGCATGATATTCACCTACTCATCCCAGGTGCCATGCAGCCCTGGAGGCTTAGGGGCCACAGAGATGGGAAAAGGTGCCTTTCTGGGGTGAGTATCAGTTTCTGCAGGAGGGCTGAGTGTGAGAAAGAATAAAGAGAGAAGGAAGTGCACAAGCATAGCTTAAACATCATCTGCTTCTACTGAGTTATGAGAACTCTGAGATTTTGTTTATTTGTCATGTAATCCACCATTCCTCAGGTCAAGCAGACACAGAACTTGGGTCTGAGTGATGATAATGAGCTGATATGATTTTCACACCCTCATCACTGAGATCTCTCCCATCAGGAATGGGTCAGGGGGCTCACAAGTGGCAGCAACTGCTATTACAGGTCTCATCTCTAGCAGCTCCTGGGACCTGCTCTCCTCCCATTAGAAAATCCTCCACTTGTCAAAAAGGAAGCCATTTTCTTTGAATTCCAATTCCACCCCCAAGAAGCTGGGACCATTTATTGGAGTCCTTAACGCTGTGTGACCTACAGTGACCGCTGCCCTATCGTTGCTGGCTGAGGTGGTTGGGGTCCACTTGGCCATCTGGGCAGCTGTTCTCTTCTCTCCTTTCTCTCCTACCGTTTCCAGACATGCAGTATTTCCAGAGAGAAAGGGCCAGTCTTTGGGAAAGAACCTGTCTAACTTGCTGTCTACGGCAGGACTTTTGGACGCTTCACAGGAAGCAGCACAAATTGATACTGTTCCACGAAGCCGTCAGCTCCATCTCATCCATGCCCTGTCTCTTTTTTAGGGATCCTCTTGCCAACAGAATCACAGTGGACCTGCCTGAAAGTGCAGAGACAGCAACTGAGGCACAGCCAAGAGATCTGGCTGTATTAATGACCTAAGAAGATGGAGTAGTCACCAGAAAGTCAGAGGAAGTGACACGCATGGGCCCAGCAAACTCAGCTAAGTCAACTCCACCAGCCTTACTGGTAACCAACTGTGTGTACAGCACCCTGATAGGGACCAGAGCCGTGACAGTGAATAAGACCAGACTATGCCCTTGAGGAGCTCACCTCTGCTAAGGGAAACAGGCATGGAAACACACAATGGTGGTAAAGAGGAAAGAGGACGATAGGACTGCATGAAGGGGATGGAAAGTAGCCAGGAGAGGAAACGGTTAAATGTGTGTGAGGAGGTTAGTGAGGAAAGACTCTAAGAGAAGGCTCTGTCTGGCTGGGTTTGGAAGGATGTGTAGGAATCTTCTAGGGGGCACAGGCACACACCAGGCATAGATAAAAATCTGCAGGCATGGCTTGTCGGGATGAATTTCAAGTATTCTAGAATGAAGACAGCCATGGAGACAAGGGCAGGAGAGAGGAGATATAATAAATTTTATGCCAATGGCTGCACTTGAGTTTCTGATAAGGACCTAGAACCCTTGGACTCCCCAGTAACATTGACTGAGTTGTTTATGATTCCTCATAGAATATGAACTCAAAGGAGGTCAATGAGGGGTGTGTGTGTGTGTGATTCTTTGCCAACTGCCAAGGTGGAGAAGCCTCTTCCAACTGCAGGCAGAGCACAGGTGGCCCTGCTACTGGCTGCCACTCCAGCCCTGCCTCCTTCTCCAGCATATAAACAATCCAGCAGCCTCAGTGAATCACTGCTGTGCAGGGAAGGAAAGCTCCACGCACACAGCCCAGCAAACAGCAGCACACAGCTGAAAGGAAAACTCAGAGGAGAGAGATAAGGAAGGAAAGTAGTGATGGATCTCATCCCAGACTTGGCGGTGGAAACCTGGCTTCTCCTGGCTGTCAGCCTGATACTCCTCTATCTGTGAGTAACTGTCCAGGCTCCTCTTCTCTGTTTCCCTGGACTTGGGCTGCTAATCAGGCCTCTCTTTCCCTTCTCTGTTTTGAAGATCAAAAAGGATGTTCAGGTCGGGCGCGGTGGCTCACACTTGTCATCCCAGCCCTTTGGGAGGCCGAGGCAGGTGGACTGTCTGAGGTCAGGAGTTCAAGACCAGCCTGGCTAACATGGTGAAACCCCATCTCTACTAAAATTACAAAAATTACCTGGGCTTGGTGGTGGATATCTGTGGTCCCAGCTACTTGGGAGGGTGAGGCAGGAGAATCGCTTGAACCCGGGAGGTGGAGGTTCCAGTGAACTGAGATCATGCCACTGCACTCCAGCCAGGGTAACAGAGTGAGACTCCATCTCAAAAAAGAAAAAAAAAGATTTTCAAGAAGTAGCTTAAGTGTTGGATGCTACAAACACAGAGGGGTTATGATGGATCTTTTGCAGATCTATAAAGGAATAAATAAGCATCTCCCCCATCTATCTCTAGTGTCAAGAAGGGTTTAGGGACAGCACTGATTGAGGATAATCTAATTAACAATGGTTTGGACCCAGCTTACTAAACCAGAATTTGGATTTTACATTTTTCCCCTTAAGTTGCAGGAGAAGAGGATGAATCTTCTCACTGGTGGGATCCTGACATGCTAGGGCAGGTGGAGGGAAGAGCCACTCCCACTGTGTTTGCAGTAGAGGCTTCCCGCCTGTCACATTTTACTTCTAACTCAATTTCACTGTTATTGAGAGTAGGGAATCATGGTGACATGAAAATAGAAAATACAAACCTTGTTTTAATTCTTTCACCGAAAGGTTAGCAATTCGGTGAGTTGTGGTAACATGGTTTCCTCCTGCTGGCATTTTAACATGAATCGATATGACTTAAATTCATCCTTTTTAAAGCCAGACTTTTTTGGAGATACACTATTTCCAGCATGTTCCTCCTGGGTGATAAAAGAGAGCTATTAGTTCAGTATTTGTGACAATAAATGTGTGTAAAATAACCTCACCTTTCCAGAATAACGTCAGGAATATGACTCTAACACACAAATGTATATCTCTATGACAAGATTGCATATGTCTTTTAAAAAATACCTTGCTGACAGTTTATCTTAATACCCCCATTTCAAATAAGCCTGCTTAGCAGGTTATCTTAAACTCTCAGGACAAGGAAGTGAGCAAGACTGTGAACCAGTGAGGACAGCAAAAGCATCCAGGTAGGATCAAGATGAAGTGAGAAAATATTCCTCATCCCTCAGGGTAGCACTCTAAAGAGATATTCATGGTTCCTGCCCCCCAGTGGAAGTCACTCGAAGGGCAAACACGTTGGCATCTCATCTGCTTCAATCCTGGACACAGGGGCATGATTGGTGTCACTCTGTGTGTTGTTGGCCATGTTGTGGGGCTGTCACTTCAGATTCTGGCAGTCAGGCAGACAATACCTGAGCCTTAGATGAGGCCGGTACAGCCCAGTTATTCAGAAACTATAGGGTAGACCATACCCTTCTTAGGCCTATACAATTACATGCAATAGATGACTGACTTTTCTGTTAGCCTCTTCATTGTAACCGAATGCAGGATTACTCTATCAAACAGAGGGAAGCTGTAAAGAAACTAAACAGTTCGCCCAGGCCAGCCTCTGCCTTGACATGGTACCATGTGAGTCTAGACACTCGCCTAGATATGTCCTTGGGGACCAATGCTGCCGACACATTAACTCAATAGTTTGTCCTGGCCTGAGAGATCATGTAACATGTAGAAAATTTAGAAGCAGAGATTAGTGTCATTGATTTGCCATGGCTGTGACAACAAAGGAAGGAACTGGAGTGGGAAAACCCAAGGTCACCCTGGTTTTGGTAGACGATGCACACACTTCCACTAACTGTTCTGAGGCAAGGATCCAAATGCACTATTGGGCCTGGCTATGCTGCCTGTGCTGGATCCTCCAAGCACGAGCCTCCAGGCCATTTCTCAATTGTATTTTTACCACATATTATCAGAGTCACTGGATTTGTACAGAATGTTTAGAACCTATACTGCCTTATGGGAAACCCTTTAAAGAAGAGAAAACAAGGTCTTAATTCAACTGTCTGGAATATTTTATGGTTATTTATGTGGAATACTGCATCTTTTCCTATCAACAGGAAGGTACGTGGACATTAGAAGGTGCCTGTCTTTCAGCACATACATCCATTTATATACACCATACTTTTCAGCCACATTTTCCTAATTTGCCTCTCTGGGGTCAAGCTTGTGGGATTAGGAGATTCATGGTTGAATTGATGGCTGGTGACCTCTTCCATCAACCTTTCTTCTTCCTCCAGTCCTCCACCCCTCAGTAACATCAGACTGGGAAGGTCTTCAGACATCCAGAATCCCCAGTTGGGAGAGTCCATACATGACCCATCAAAGATGAGCTGCAAGCAGGCCTGCCATAGGGAGCAGCAGCCTTAATGGGTTTTCCTACAGAGATAGTTCATGTGCAGAGGCAATAAACTGACTGCCTTGTAATTGATCACCTTGGAAAAAATGAGCATGTCTGGCTGTATTAGTCTTTTCTTCCATTGCTGTAAAGAAATATCTCAGGGTGGATAATTTATAAAGAAAAGAGATTTAATTGGCTCACGGTTCTGCAGGCTGTACAGGAAGCATAGTGACTTCTGCCTCTAGGGAGGCCTCAGGAAATTTACAATCATGGCAAAAGGTGAAAGAGAAGCAGGCAGATCTTACATGACTGGAGCAGAAGCAAGAGAGGGTGGGGAGGAGGTGCCACACACTTTTAAACCACCAGATCTCATAAAAACTCATTGTCACGAGGACAACACCCAAGGGGGATGGTGTAAAACCATGAGAAACTGCTCCTAGGATCCAATCACCTCCTATCAGGCCCCACATCCAGCATTGGGGATTACATTTCAACATGAGATTTGGGTAGGGGCACAGATTAAGACCATATCACTGGCACCGTGCTTATCAGGTGAATAGCACCAGTTGGAAGGCTAGATTTCACAAGAGGAGGAATGTCCTGGTTCTTAGTTGTGATTCTTTTGCACACTGTCATTCAGGGAAATATGAGTCAATCATTCTCCAAATAGCTCAAATCAACCAGATCATCTGACCACAGAGACTGAGGTGTAGCTGAAAGGTGCTCGCATTTCTATGAGGCCAATGGAAGCCTGCAGCACAGTTGTCAATCTATAGAAATAAGGACTCTGTGACTCCTCCAAGACCTCTCTGTGAAAGACGGTTTAAGAAAGGCCAGATGCTAGAACAGGGTCAGAGGTTAGAGCAAAGGGAGAGCATAAAAGCCTCTGAGCAAACTCTAAAGACAGGGTCACCATAGGCTCTCAGTGACCCTCTGTGATTGAGTGGAGGCAGTGACGCAAAATCTCATCATCACTGCAGAAAACAAACAAACAAAAAAAATTGTCACCCTTTCTACCTAGGATGAGAATCCCAAAATCAGAGAAGAATCCACTTACTAAAAAGACATAAGGGAAAGAAGTGCCCTGGAAGAATTCCTGCCTGAATCTCTCAGTATCATTCACATTTGAGGACATTTATCAAGTATTCATTACAGGATTGGGACCATGAAGACTGCTGCTGCTTTGAGCTAATCATTGTGACTTTTTGGGGTCTCCCAGTGGAGGCACCAAACGACCTGATGAACAAATATAATCATTGCCATCGGAGTTACTGTTATCTTTTATTGCCTTAATGTTACCTCCTCTTGAGCATTCCAGTTCCTCTGTCAGTGACTCACCAGTCCCTGTATCTATAAAGTCACAATCCCTGTGACCTGATTTCTGTTTCACTTTGTAGATATGGAACCCATTCACATGGACTGTTTAAGAAGCTTGGAATTCCAGGGCCCACACCTCTGCCTTTTTTCGGAAATGTTTTGTCTTTCCGTAAGGTGAGTGTTTTTGAGCTTCCTCTTTTGCTTCTTATGATTGCAAAGAGCAGCTGAGTTCCATCAGTAAAAGTACTTCTCAGAAGGAAGGTCTGAGGTTTTATACTTTCAGAAACAGTGTGTAGGCATCACCCAGAGCACGGCAAAGTTTACCCTGGGGCTCTCTTGCTAACTCTCAGGAACCTCAAGTTTCCCACAGTTTAACAGCCCAAATCTCAGGTAGATCAGCAACTTGATGTGCAGACATTGTGAGCACCATAAAGAGCATTTCCTTTTTGCTCGATGCAGGTTCCCAGGAAGGTACAGTCATACTTAGTTCGTATTAAAAGTAGGAACAGGAGTCCCTGATTGTGGCTTGTTTTCTGTGGACATGAGAGTCAAACTTTCCTCTCTGTAGCAGTAGCTCATGAGTAGCCTTTTTTCCCTTCCTCCTGCACAGCTTTGAAACTCAGTTTATTATTATTAGGGAAATCAAATATTTACCATTGGGTCATTTGCACCTGCTTGAAGCCTCTCCAAAAAATGCTAAATTTCCTGAGGATATTTCCACGGCTCTACCACAGCTCTTACTCCCCATGATATCTTTTGCCACTTTGAGATACAGAACAAAGGTGTTCCGCTTTACTTCTTTTCCTTTGAAGGTTGCATCTTGTGGGTGAGTCTGAGCAGGGAGTGGATGTAACTGAGATGAGATAGTGGTTGTCTATTAACCTCAGATATTTAAGCACAATATGAATTTGTGGGTTTATTTTTTACACAAAGTCAGGATCACATACAAAATCGCTAGAAAGGGGATGATTTGACAAAATTATTAAATATTTAATTTCATTAAATAGAATGTTATATGTGCCACACGGACTGTGAACTTTGGGTGAGCCTTTGTGCCTAACCTTATCTCATGCTCTGTTCAGGGCCTGGTCCCTGGATGGAAAATTACGAACTCATCTCCACAGGACCAGCAACAGCAGTCAGCTCTCTGGCTTAGACAATCTTTCCTGCATACCTGAGGCTTGTTTCTCAGATTCTAGTTCTCCCAAGTGAGGACTTTGTTGTCTAATTACTGTCGAGGAATTTCATCTTTTTTCCCTCTGCAAAATCAATAATTTCCTTACTTTCACACACATCCGTGAGAGGAGGCCAGCAAACAGCCTTTGTGTGAGCAATAAAGGTTTTTAATTACTTGGGTGCAGATCGACTGAGTCTGAAAAAGGAGTCAGCGATGGGAGATAGGAGTGGGGCAGTTTTATAGGACTGGGGTAAGCAGTGGAAAGTTACAGTTAAAGGTGGTTATCCATTGTCAGCAGAGGAGGGGGCCACAAGGCGCATGGTGGGGAGATCATAGGACTCATTGTCCAGAAGAAGAACGTCATGAGGTCGATCGATTGATCAGTTGGGGCAGGGCAGGAATAAGTCATAATGGAATGTTGTAAGGTTGGTCAATCAGTTAAGACAGGAGCTGGCTGTTTCACTTCTTTTGTAGTTTTTGGTTGCCTCTGGCCATCTGTATATATACATGCAGGCTTGGGCTCAGAGGCCTGAAACCCACCATTTGCCCCATGTCAACTCTTTAGTAGATGGATCCCCAAGATACACGTTCCTCAGACCTTCTTTTTGATAGTTAAAACTTCACCCCTGAAATGTAGAAAGAGGAAGGTTTACTTTTAAGTTTCAGTGCAAACTCCAAGCAAGTGTCATAATTTGCTGTGTCCAATGTCTAGAGGTGACATTTTCTCAGAACTTCCATGTTAAGCTGGAAAACTGGAAAGTGAGTCCACTTTGTCATTCTGTCACTCACTCGTTTTTCACTCAACAAACATGCCTCACAATTTATCTAAATCCGCTAGACTAAAAGAGGTCCCTGGTGTCTGTAACTTTCTAATTCTACTAGAATTCCAGAGCGAGCTCATGAAATAAATGAAAAGGATGAAGAACAAAGAGATAAAAGGGTGCACATTCCCTTCTGATGCTCACTCACTTTCCCTCAGCCTTAGTTTCCCCACATGCCCCTGGAGGTGATCATTCAGGGATTTATGAGATTTTAGAGACAACATATGAAAAAGCAAAGAGACATCAGAAAGACAAGGAGTTACTTAGTATTTATACACCAGGATAAGTCATTCAGTATCCACAACAGTTAAAGAAAATTCAAGAGTGATTTTATATTTCCCTTTTCAAATACCTCCTGTCTTTTCTCTCTTTTCTCTTGTGACGTCTCTAAATAAGCTTCCTCTAACTGCCAGCAAGTCTAATTTCATTGGATTTGACTGTTTTCAGCCCCAATTAGAGGCAGGGTTAAGTACATTTAAAATAATAATCAAATATTATTTTGTTTCTCTTCTCAGGGCCTTTGGACGTTTGACATGGAATGTTATAAAAAGTACAGAAAAGTCTGGGGGTGAGTATTCTGGAAGCTTCCATTGGATAGACTTGTTTCTATGATGAGTTTACCCCACCGCACAGAGGACAGTCTCAGCCCAGAGCTTCTCGGGATGAAACTCTTGCCAATCTAATTACAAACAGAGAGGTTCTCTGAAAGAAGAAGATATGTATTTGGGGGTAGAGTATTAGATAGGGAATCTATGTGCCATTATAAGCTATGTGCAAATTCAAGGAGGGAAAGAAGACAAAGATGTTCCAAGGAAAATATGAGGAGGACTTCATATGGGTTTTGAAATAGTTCTCCTTCACTACAAAGATCAGTAACAAGGGTGATGCCACACCAAGGTTGGACAGGTAGTTGCTGGGCAGGTGTCTTTGCAGAAATATTTTTGTGTAAGTTTGGGATGGGCTTTCTGCAAGCTTGTGGTTTCGCAGTCTTTTGTGATAGTTTTGTTATCAGGCACACAAGCATGAGAATCCTCTCTTCATAGCCTTCTGTGATTTATTTGTCAGGGTTTTTAATCACACACATAGGCACACGGACACACTGACACACACACACACATACACACACGTGCCATAATTTTGGTTCTCACAACGTTCACACTCACTATTGTAAAACTTTTTGAGGCTTGTCCCACCAAGGATCCCCTGTGTCACCAGGTGTTGAGGTCTTTGGTCTAAACTAGGCTGGGAGCATTGTGGTTACCACTTTTCCCCAGACTTTGGCGACCCGGGGACTCCCAGCATCACGTTCTGTCCAGTGTCTCCCTATTCTCCTCTTCTTTTTTTCTTCCCTTGGTGCCCTTTTATCGCATGCATTGTCTCAGACCCTTCTAATATGTGCTCATATTAGCAGGGCATCATCTCCTTCCCACATCGATTCACTTTCAACTAAAAGCCAAAACTCTTCATTTGTACTTTGGATTTAACATGCTTTTGGAAGAAGGGTTGAGAGACATAGAGAAACAGATTGGGAAACCATTTATGCTCTGCTGTTTTTTTTTTTTTTTTAACTTTCTGTGTAATTGTGGAATTTTTCATTCCGTTTTATTATTAACTTGAAGCCAAGACTTTTTAATAGAAGGATATATAAGTATATCTTTGTCTATACCTTTCTGCTGAATATGAAGAAATGCTGAATATTCTTAAACCATTGTGTTCCCTTGTGGGCTGACGGACTGTGATTTTATAAGGCGACCTCAGCCAACTGCAGCCGCTGTCAGAGGGGCTAGAGATTTGGAGAGCAGTGGAAGAGGTGCAGTGGCGTGTTGGTTAACTAGAAGCAAGAGGCAGAAGGCTTTGCCTCTTTGTACTTCATCTTCTCTAATCAAGTCCTCAGAAACCACAGTGCTGCCTGAAGGGTGCTGTGGACCTGGCACGGCCCACACAAGGAACACAACTGAGTATAAAGAACACACAGCTCTGGATGTCCACGGGCCCCACAGCAACTGCCCTGGAAACACTTAGTCCTTGTGAGCATTTGATGATTTACTTGCCTTCGTTTTTCCATGGACCTAATATTCCTTTTAAAAGTGAAATATTTTAAACATATGAAACATTGTGGAGAATGGCATGGAAAATACCCACATATGCAGCACCCAGCTTAACAAATGCTCTCCTGTCATTTCTAACCATGATCTCTTTGAAGAGCTCTTTTGTCTTTCAATGCCTCCTCCCTGTTTGACCCACATTACCCTTCATCGTATGAAGGCTTGGGTGGCTCCCGTGTCAGAATCTTGCTGTGTGTAATACCTAATGAACTAGAACCTAAGATTACTGTGTATTGTACATTTAGGGTATTATGTAATGTCAGGATTAAAGTCTGGCTTCCTGGGTTGGGCTCCAGCTGTAGAATAAAGCTGTTGATGTTTAATCAACTCTGTTTTTTCCACACAGTTTTTATGACTGTCTACAGCCTGTGCTGGCTATCACAGATCCCAACATGATCAAAACAGTGCTAGTGAAAGAATGTTATTCTGTCTTCACAAACCGGAGGGTAAGCATCCAGTTTTTGAAATTAAAATACTCATTGATTGATTAAATTTTATTTTAAATATATTCATAGACATTTGCCTAAAAAATGTGCAGGAAGATTCCAGGTACACTTCATCCTACCCACCCCCACCCCAAGTGCTGACATCTTGCAATCTTGCATAACTATAAATACAGCATATTCATGTTACGATAGTACAGGAAATTGACATTGATACAGTTCACAGAGCTTATTCAGATTTCACCAGTTTTATGTGTCCCTCATTTCTGTGTGTAGTTTTTTGTTTTTGTTTGTGGTTTTTTTCTTTGTTTGTTTTTTGAGAAGGAGTCTCGCTCTGTCACCCAGACTGGAGTGCAGTGGCGCGGTCTTGGCTCACTGCAACCTCCGCCTCCCGGGTTTACGCCAGTTTCCTGCCTCAGCCCCACCATGCCCCGCTAATTTTTGTATTTTTAGTAGAGGTGAGGTTTCACTGTATTGGCCAGGCTGGTCTTGAGTGTGTAGGTAGTTCTATGCAAATTTATCACATTTGTAGATTTGTGCAATGACCAGTATGATCAAGATGCAGACCCATTCCATCTCCATACGGCTCCCTGCTGCTATCCTACAGTCACAAGTCTTCTTCTCTGAGAGAGTCTTTATCAGTGAAAATGTCTTTCTATTTTGAGGAGGCCAATGTATTACTAATTTTTTTATGGATTGTGCTTTTGGTGTCAAGTCTGAAAGTTCTTTGCCTAGCCCTCCTTCCTATATTGCCAATTTTTCTAAAAGTCATAAAGTTTCATGCTTTGCTAAATGTAACTCTATTACCTATTTTGTGTTATTTTTTGCATAAGGTATGAGATTTAGATCAAGGTTCATTTTTTGTGGCTTATGGCTGTCCAGTTGCTCCAATGTCATTTTTGGAAAGTTGGGCATATTGTTAAAAATCAACTGGGCATATTTCTTTGTATCTCTCATTTGCTATTCTGTCCCATTGATCACTGTGTTTATTCTTCCACCAATAACAAACTGGTGACTCTAGTAGCTGTACAGTAACTCTTAACATCATGTAGAGTGATTCTTCCCACTTTTATTGACTTATTTTTTCAGATTTGTTTTAGCTCTTCCTGGTCCTCTGCTTTTCCATAAAAAATCAGAATGAGTTTCTCAGTGTCTACAAATAAGCAGGCTGTTATTTTGAGAAGAATTGAATTAAATGTACAGATCAATTTAGGGAAAGTCTTATCTTTACTATGTTTGGTCTTTCAATTCATGAACTTAGTATGCCTCTCCATTTCCTTAGATTTTCTCCGATTGCTTTTTAACAATTTTTAGTTTTCAGCATAGAGATCCTGTACATGTTTTGTTGGATTTACAGCTAAAGAATTTCATTTTTGTTGGAGTGACTGTAAATGATATTATATTTTTTTTGTGTTTTCAGATATTGATTGTTGGTACATAGAAACATGCTTGGATTTTGTTTGTTGATCTTGTATCACAGAACGTTGCAGAACTCATTTAGTATTTCTAGAAGTCTTTTTGTATATTCCTTGAGATTTTATACATTGACAATTATGTCACTTGAAAATAGAGACAATTCTTTCATTTCCTTTCCAATCTGTATGCCTTTTAATTCTTTTTCCTTGTCTACTGCACTAGGACTTCCCAGTATAATGTCAGGTAAATGTGGTGAATTTTTTAATTGTTCCTAGAGGCATTCAGTCTTTCATCAATAAGCATGATTCAGATGAAGTGGGTTTTGTTTTTTTTTTTTTTTTTTTTGTAGACTCTATCAAATTGAGGAACTTTGTCTCCCTAGTTTGCTGAATTTTTAACATAAAAGAGGGCTGTAAGTACTCATTATAAAACAAAATATGGTTATGGAAGATGAAAGAAAGTTTCAAGCATGTTGGCTTGATAGGACAGTTCCAAGTTGGCAAAAATAATTATCTCTTCCTTTTTTTTTCTATCCATGGAATAAAAAATTAAGAGAAAAGAATGTTCATAGAATTGCATTATTTCTTCAAAATATGTTTCTAGTTTCGAAACTATTACCTACCATTTTTTTAAAACCACCACATCGAGGCACCTCTTTTTCATGTTGCCCATGGTTTAGGTGAACATAAAGACAGAGCTCGTCTGAGGCAACATACAGTACACCAAAGCCACCTGCCTCTCTGTCACCACTCTCTCTCTACACTGCACAAGTGCTAGGTGTTGATCCTGTCTATTCCACTGGAAGAACAGGTTCCCTACCATGTGGAGAATTTGTATGTAAAAGGAGACTGGGAAATACAGGCTGGAGACCACATCAGGTGGCTGGGTCTCCCGAACACTGCCCCCACACACAAATACATCCCAGGACACTGGGCATCTGGGATAAATCTCTATTGAGCATCTAGCATAGGGCCTGTCTGTCACCTAGTAGACAGTCACTAAATATTTGTTAAATATGTTTAACATTTTCTACAACCATGGAGATCTCCACAACTGACACAGGACAAAATGTTTCTGCTTTGAACTCTAGACTTTAGGTCCAGTGGGATTTATGAAAAGTGCTCTCTCTAGAGCTCAGGATGAAGAATGGAAGAGAATACGATCACTGCTCTCTCCAACCTTCACCAGTGGAAAACTCAAGGAGGTACGAAAATAGCATGAGTTTTAATTAGAAACTTAAGAATGAATCAGGTGGGGACAGGTAAAAAGTAAGACCACAGTCCCTTTCCAAGGGGTAGTTTGCTGAATTTGAGCTTCCTAAAAATGGTCTTTTATCTTTATGTACAGAAAAGACGTCACAAAATTCATTATAAAATGTCACTTACTGCTCCGTGCTGGGGAAAGCCATGTTCTTCGGGGACTAGAGTCTGCACATTTTACTATGGGTGGTGTTGTGTTTTGTGCTTAGATGGTCCCTATCATTGCCCGGTATGGAGACGTGCTGGTGAGAAATCTGAGGCGGGAAGCAGAGACAGGCAAGCCTGTCACCTTGAAAGAGTAAGTAGGAGCACAGCCATGGGGTTCTGAGCTGTCATGAGCCCTGCCAGCTGCCTGCCATGGAGCTGATATTCCCACTGTTGGGTTACTCCAGTGACTAGACAAAAGGATGGCTGTAGTATTGTAACTTCAATGGGTCTCCCAAGATGGGGCCACTCCCAAGAGGAGGTGGGGTAGCTGGGGGAAAAAGGTCTTCTCCCATATGCACATGGACCAGGATTTACTTATCCATTAAATTGTCAACATGAATGTTCTGGAAGACTAAATGCATACTTTAGGGGGAAAAAGTGTGATTGCACCAAAGTTTTAAGCATGGCATGTATGGAATGGTGGAAGGGGAAGGCACTTGGTATCTATTGGTTGGCAGTGAGTACGATGGGAAAGTTATAATGGAGAACTTTTAATAATTTTGACCCTTTCATGGTTTTTCTAAGGATATCAGTAGAATACTAAATATTAAACATTCCCACCACTGCTTTTTCCTCCAGTCTTAAAGAGAAGGGGTGGGGGTTTAATGCTAAATGTAGGGTAAGCCTATTTTTGCTATCTACACTGGTTTGTGCTTCAATTATTCAGGAACAACAGGTGTAATCTGCGCCTGTCCTGGGCAGACCAGGGATATGTGGTCACTAAGCTATAGGAATTTCCAAATCAACTTTTAGTGAATTTTTTTTTAACCAGGACATTGTTGGTCATTACATTTTACTAAAATGATTCTGCCGTCAGGGCAATTTCAGCTCACAAGAGTTGGAGATAGTGAAACTTTCCAAAGCTTGAGCAGGGAGTGTAGAGAATAAGGATGATATTTCTAGGAGCTCAGAACAGGGTGTTGCTGTTTTGTGAAGTGCTGAAGAGGAATCAGCTCTGGGCACAGAGTCTGTAGTCAGGCAATGTCACCTGTCTTGAGCTCCTAAGAAGAGTGAATTTTTCTCCTCTTGTTCTGCTGAAGCACAGTGCTTACCCATCTTGTATCATCCACACTCAACACATGCTACTCTAGTTCTCTGATAGTGGGTCCCTGTCTTCCTGTGATGGGCTCCTTGATCTCAGAGGTAAGTCTAACTCAGTTCAGAGTCTCCATCACCCCCAGTGTAGGGCCAGCTGTGTCACTGGCACCCGATAACCACCTTCTAAGGGAGTGTGATGGGAGATGATCCAGTAAATAGTTCTGAAAGCCTGTGGCTCTTAGTCTGTCTTGACTGGACATGTGGGTTTCCTGTTGCACGTATAGTGAAAGGATTGTAAAGAGGTGCTGATTTTAATTTTTCATGTCTTTCTCCACTCAGCATCTTTGGGGCCTACAGCATGGACGTGATCACTAGCACATCATTTGGAGTGAACGTCGACTCTCTCAACAATCCACAAGACCCCTTTGTGGAAAACACCAAGAAGCTTTTAAGATTTAATTCATTAGATCCATTCTTTCTCTCAATAAGTATGTGGACTACTATTTCCTTTTCTCTCTCTCTCACTCTTAAAAATAACTGCTTTATTGAGATGTAAATCACCATGTAATTCATCCACTTAAAATGTACAGTTTGATGGTTTGTAGTACATTTGAAGATATGTATGACCATCACCATTGTAAACCTTAAAATATTTTTGTCAATCTAGAGACCTCATACATTTTTAGCTATCAACCCCCTGCCACAAACCCTGTTGTCATATGCAACCACTAATCAACTTTCTGCCTCTATAGCTTTGCCTATTCTGGACACTTCATAGAAATGACATTAATTTGTCAAGGTTTTTTTTTGTTCTCTAGTTCATGAATTTGTACTTTAGTCTGTATTATTTTCTTTCTTCTGCTGGCTTCAGGCTTAGTTTGCCCTTCTTCATTTACTGTGTTGTGGCATGAATGTAGATTATTGATTTGTGATTTTTTGTTCTTCTAAATTTAGACATCACAACTATAAATTTTCCTCTGAGCACTTCTTTGCCAAATGCCATCAGATTCTGGCTTATCACACCTTAATTTTTGTTCAGCTCTAAACACTTTCTATTTGCCCTTTGAATTTCTACTTTGCCTCATTGGTTACTTAAAAGTTTATTATTTAACTTCCAAATATGTGTGAGTTTCCCAGTTTTCCTTACCTTATTGATTTTAGCTTTATTCTGTGATAGGTTGACCGAGATACACTGTGTCATTTCTATCTTGATTACCTGTTATTTCTTGAACAGCATGATTAATTTAAGCAGCAGATTATGATTTGGGTTATCCTAAGAGACTCTCATCCAATAGATAATGGCAAGGAGATTAGGGCATTGAACTTTGTTTTTTTCATTATTTGAATGATGCAGAAGGGGCTGCTGATCTCACTGAGGTAGTGGTGGTCCCTATGCATAGACCTGCCCTAGATCAGCCACTGGCCTGTGAGAGGGGCAAAAGTCAGAGAAGGAATGGCTTCCAGTTGAGAAACTTGATGTATTTTACTTTTCTGATTGGCAGAGAAAATAAGAATTGCTCCAGGTAAATTTTGCATGTTCACAATGGTTTCATTTTCTGTTGTGTTTTTTTTTTTCCCCTACAGAAATCTTTCCATTCCTTACTCCAATTTTTGAAGCATTAAATATCACTATGTTTTCAAGAAAAGTTACAGATTTTCTAAGAAAATCTGTAAATAAGATAAAAGAAGATCGCCTCAAAGAAACACAAAAGGTAAAACATGGTGGTAGTTATAGGAGGATGTTTAGTTTTTCATAATTTTTTGTTAATATACATATGATTGGTGCACTTCCCTCTCTGTCTTTAGAGAAATATTTTAACATAAAGAGTACTCATGCTTAGAGCAAGATAATTCATTTGGTTGCAGAAAGTGGAGTTTGGGGAAGGAGATATGAGAACGAGTCAGAGATAGCACTTAAAATTTAATATCAGGCACCACAATTAGTATGCCATGGCATAAATATTATTCACATAAAACTTTATCACATCACTTCCCTTCAATAAATTGCCAAAGGATAAACATTACTGTTTAGATATATTTTTTTCTGGTATTATGCTTTCTCTAGATCATAGATTGGTAAAGAATCGTTTCAAGTACAAGCCTATTATTTCAAACCTTCTCCAATGAAAGTCCCTATCAGGCCACCTGCTGAAGTGTAGTGTGTGTTACATTTGAGCCCTCTCACAGCCTCAAGTGAACAGGCGTCTTCTCTGGGAATTGAGGCTGCAAGGCTGGCTAACTCAGCTTTGCCTTCATCAGCCCTAGAGGCCAGCCAAAGGATATCTGCAGGTCAGGGTGGCAGGAATGGGTAACCCAGGTGTCACTGAAGATTGTATAGGTTTTGGGAATGTTGGAGTATTTGAAGATGCTCCCACCAAAGCTGCTGATAAGTTCTGGAAATGTCAGGAGAATAATCTTTGTGGATATTGGTGAAGAAGAGGACAGAAGAATAAAATGTCCAGGACTTCTTCATGGGTATGCAGTTAGGACCACGGAAAAGACCAAAAAGCAATTGAACATTTTATCCAGATTTGTTTCGGGAAAACATCCTGCTTTCCAAGGATTTAGATGGATATTTTTTTCACTGGTGACTCAGGCAACACCCATCAGATTTCTGGTCTTCAAGGGGCCATATTCTCAGAAGGGAGGTTGAGGACTGCACTTCCGATATGAGTCACTTTCTGTCAATAAAATTTCTCTTTTTGTTTCTAGCGCCGAGTGGATTTCCTTCAGCTGATGATTGACTCTCAGAATTCGAAAGACACTGAGTCCCACAAAGGTATCCAAAGAGTGCTTCTGGGGGCTACTGGTGGGGCACTCAGGGAGGTCCTTGCTCTGAAAATGTGCAGGAAGTATTCCAGGAAGATGAGAATTTCTGCCACATAGCAGAATGACACAGGTTTGGATGTTATAAATGGTAGCTGGAGGCACTTTCTAGAGGCATACAGGCATAGATAGCCAAGTTATAAACTTAAAGGGCAACCCTAAGGAAACCTGGCATGCCAGAAAGAGTCAGTGGTCTGTGGATCACCTACATGAGATCAAGTAGCAGTTCTCAGCCTCCTCAGATCATCAGAATTAAAATTTCTGCCTGGAAATTTATTAGGTTTCTGCAAAAGTAACTCTGAATTTTTGTGATTACTTTTAATGGCAAAAACCGCAATTACTTTTGCAGCAGCCTAATGCATCTAACATCCAATCAGGAGGCATGCTGTCCTAATAAGGGTGATTTTAACTGGCATTTTTTGGTGAAAGTGTGTTCACCAGGTTAATCTACTACAAAGTTTTTTTTTCCTTTGGAAAGGATAAGTAACTTGTGTGGAAAACCTCTGAGACCGTGTAAATATCCTCTTTGTCTTCAATCTTTCACCTACTAGTTTTAAAACCCATGTTGGATTTTCACTGAAGTCATTATTACCATGACAGTGGCAAAATGATGACCATGTTCAATTTCAAGCCACCAAGATTTGGCAATCATGTCACAAAATTCCTGAATATTTCATCATTGGTTCTAGAGAGCAGGAGTAGGCTAAATTCAGCATACCACTTTAAATATGTTCATGTCTACATCTACTTCTGTCTGCCTGTCTGTCTGTCTATCTATCTATCTATCTATCTATCTATCTATCTATCTATCTATATCTATTATCTATCCATCTATCATCTATTTATCTGCTTATTGATTATCTATCATCTATCTATCTATTCATCTATCTATCCCCATACAACTTGCTGTGATAAAGGAAACAGCCTATTGTGTTAGTGTTTCATCTAGAAATCACTAGACACATATAGCTATTGAGCACTGCACATGTGGCTAGTGTCACTGATGAAAAATTTTAAATTGTATTTAAGTTTAATTGAATAACATTTGATTTTAAATAGCCACATGTCGATAGTGGCTACCATATTGGACAGCAGAGCTCTAAACTTTGAGATTATAGTTCAATTTCGCATCAGTATCATCAGTTTCATGGTAACTGAATACAATTATTAGATAGTTGAATTTACCCACAACTGCATCACAGAAATCTTGACTGGTAAATCACAGCTCTGTCAACATTTCTCACACTCCTTTCATATTGGTTTTGGTAGTGAATTACATTGTTGGAACAGGCACCATATTAATTTCTGTGTTCCAGGTTTCTAAATGTCCTAATCCAGTCCTGATCAAACAGAGCAGTGATGGACCATCCTGAGCTTCTCTCAGGAGAAAAACCAAGAGGGGGGCAAACTTCTAATCACAGGAGCTTATGCTATTTTAATGCCATTCATCAGACTACAGTCAATCACCACTCATCTAGCTTTTTGTCCGTCTCCAGTTGCTGTACATCCTGAGATAGTCAATTCTGAGACCTATAGCCTAGATCTACCAGCTGATGCATCTCAAAGATATAATCTATACTTCTCAAGCTGGGCTATGCACACAAATCACCACATCTTGTGAAATTCGATTGTGAATCAGTACTTCAATAGTGGGGTTTGAGATTTTGCATTTCTGTTTTTGTTGTTGTTGTTGTTTTGTTTTGTTTTGAGACAGTTTTCGCTCTTGTTGTCCAGGCTGGAGTGCAATGGCACAATCTTGGCTCACCACAACCTCAGCCTCCCAGATTCAAGTGATTCTTCTGCCTTAGCCTCCCGAGTAGCTGGGATTACAGGCATGTGCCACCATGCCTGGGTAATTTTGTATTTTAGTAGAGGCAGGGTTTCTCCATGTTGGTTAGGCTGGTCTTGAACTCCTGACCTCAGGTGATCCATCCGCCTTGGCCTCCCAAAGTGCTCAGATTACAGGTGTGTACCACGACACCCAGCCTTTGCATTTCTAACTAGCCCCCAGATGTTTATGACCCATGGACCACACTTTGAGTAGCAAGAGGTGGTCTGTATTCCAATATTGGTCTCTTAAGTTTCCTCAAACATATCTACAGGAAAGGTCCTTTAATTTTCCATACATTTAACCATTAATGCTGCAATTTTTCTCAAAGTTTGTCAAGGTATATTTTGGCTAAAATAAATTACATTTTTCTTGGGAGAGAAGACTACCCCATATACAATAAAGTACTTTTAGGATCATTCAAGGAGCACACCCATAACACTGAGTATGCTATGAAGAAATGCTCTCTCTGGAAATTACCCAGCTGTGCAGGTGTCAGGGATGGCACAAGAAGGAGTGGATGGCCCACATTCTCGAAGACTTTGGGGAAAACTTGATAAAAATGATTTGCCTTGTTGTGGCCCTGTAAGACACACATCAGAACAAAACCACCCCCAGTGAGACTGAATTGCTTTTCAATTTTTTTTCCCTAGGGATTTAAGGACTTTCACTTAGATTTCTCTTCATCTAAACTGTGATGGCCTATACTGATCTGATTTACCTAAAATGTCTTTCCTCTCCATTCAGCTCTGTCTGATCTGGAGCTTGTGGCCCAATCAATTATCTTCATTTTTGCTGGCTATGAAACCACGAGCAGCGTTCTCTCTTTCGTTATGTATGAACTGGCCACTCACCCTGATGTCCAGCAGAAACTGCAGGAGGAAATTGAGGCAGTTTTACCCAATAAGGTGAGTGGATGATACATGGAGAAGGAGGGAGGAGGTGAAGCCTTAGCAAAAATGCCTCCTCACCACTTCCCAGGAGAATTTTTATGAAAAGCAAAATCATGATTCCTTCACTGACACTGTGTAGGAAGGCTCCAAAAAAGAAAAAGAAAGAAATATAGGGAATGGTTGCTATTGGCAGAAGTATAAGATCTTTGTTAAACAGTCCTGGCCCTGGTTCATCTGCTTTCTGCTATCACAATAATTCTAAATAAAAAACATCCAAAAACCTCAGTGGCATCTAACCATAAGCATTGATTGCTCACAAGTCTTGATAGTGAGCTCCGGTAATATTGGCAGGACTTGCTCTATGCTGGCTGTGGTCTGACGGGGCCTGGCCCTGGGTGCGCTGTGCAGGCTGACTCAGCTCTGCCCCACACCTGTCCCATGTTTCAGTCAGGTAACTACTGGTGAAGAAGCCAAGTAGGAACCAGGGTATCTGACCCCTGAGCTAAACTCTTAAACTCTAGAATAGTGCCTTCCAATACAACACCAAGTACTAGGTGCATATCAACCGTACTGTTTTCAGACCTCTGCCAAAACTGGGATTCTTTGTGGTATGAAGAGACACGGTTTTGGGCTGGCCTGGGTGTGGCAGTGAGGTGAACACAAAGGGATGTTCTTCAGAGATTACAGTTCAGCCCTGGAGCAACAACTAGGAGACTGTTTCAGCAAGTGAGGATAGGGCTGTGTGGGGTTCTATCCTCTTTATAATTTCTACTAGCACTGAAATCATGTGCTCTGGTAACATCCAACCAGAACCTTCTTTTGTCGTATTTGGGATAGAAGGGACTAGTTGTCTTCAAATTATTGATAGAGATTTTATATAATATAGTGTTTCTGTCCACATTTTATGTATATAACAAAAGTCTTGTGTGTGTATATGTGTATGTATACATTTGTATTGTATATATGTGTGTATATATATACGTGTGTGTATATATGTGTATATATCCATGTGTACATATATACACATACATACAATACAAATCCTGCTTAGTAGCTGTTTTTGTTTGTATATATAACAAGAAGAATTACGAAGCAGGACTCTGACCAATAGTCCTTGTGTGGCACAGAGAATTTGCTTTTAATATCTCTTTTCACTTTCTTTGTTACAGACATGCGATCTCTTTTTTGAAAGGTGACAATCACTTTGTCATATTTTATCTGATGCTAATGCTCATAGCCTATTAGTCACGTTTGTTTCCATGAGAAAGAAAAACCACTAGATGGTTATGCTAAGGATTTCTGTCCCTGGAGTGAGAACCGTCCCGAATGTCTCCCACTTTCATAACTCCTCCACACATCTCAGTGGGCCGTTGAGCACATCAATGGGCATGACAGTTATTAAAACAGTTTGTGAATGTTATGATCCTTTACCAGTATGAGTTATTCTCTGGAGCTTCTAACATGTCAATAGTACTGCGTGGACTGAGTTAAAAGTTAATTCAAAATCACAGTTTATCCAAATCTGTTTCTTTCTTACCAGGCACCACCCACCTATGATACTGTGCTACAGATGGAGTATCTTGACATGGTGGTGAATGAAACGCTCAGATTATTCCCAGTTGCTATGAGACTTGAGAGGGTCTGCAAAAAAGATGTTGAAATCAATGGGATGTTCATTCCCAAAGGGGTGGTGGTGATGATTCCAACCTATGTTCTTCATCGTGACCCAAAGCACTGGACAGAGCCTGAGAAGTTCCTCCCTGAAAGGTACAAGGCCACTGGGAAAGCAGTCCTCCCTGAACCAGCCTGGTTCAAGCATATTCTGCCTCTCTTAATCTACAGGACAGTCATGGGCTTGTACAATCATTTGCTTATCTTTTTACTCTTAAAAGTTTTTTTTTTAATCATGAAATTGATCATTGTCACACTTTACAAACCATAGACTAGATAAAAGAAAACTATAGCCACCCACAGTCCCAGCAATTTAAGATGAAGGTCAAAAATTATGTCCTTAGGGGTCATAAGAGTCCAAAATATAAGGACTCTTTTAAAAACATATGATCACAATGCTACTATTATGTCCTACAAATGAATATTTTTTCCTTAATATAATCAAATCTTCTGGAATCAAATTTGAGTAAAAACCATGGGTCCAATCTTCAAAGAATTCATAGCTTAGTGGAAGAGATAGACAAAGAAGGCAGTGATGATACTGCTTTGCACTGGTACAGTAGCATATGCCCATGTAAATTATCTGACTTAAACTATTCTGTGGAGGAGCTGGGGAGAAAGAAGCAGAGATGGAGATTAGAGGAAGGAGGAGGAGGAGGAAAGGAGGGATAAGACAAGGTAGGGAGGAGAAGGAGGAGAATTAGAAAAACAAGAGAGGAGAGGAGAAAAGGAAAGTGCAAAATAACAATTTTGAAGTAGTGCAAGACGATTTCTTCTTCTCCTTCCTCATGACCAACATAAGTGTGACCTGAGGCAGGAATCTACTTTTCCATCAGTCAGTCTCATCACTTACTTGCGTTTTATAGTGTGAAAACATCACCACCCTGAATATAATCTGAGCATTTAGAAATAAATACCCTTTGCAACACTATTTATCTCATCTCAACAAGACAGAAACCTCCTATAGTGTAAGGAGAGTAGAAAGGATCTGTAACTTACAATTCTCATAGCAAAATAGGCATAGCCGGATTTCAATGACCAGCCCACAAAAGTATACTATGTACTACTAGTAGAGGAGTGAGCCCTAAGTAAGAAACCCTAACATGTAACCCTTAGGGTTATTATGTCATTAACTTTTTAAAAATCTACCAATATGGAACCAGGTTCAGTAAGAAGAACAAGGACAACATAGATCCTTACATATACACGCCCTTTGGAAATGGACCGAGAAACTGCATTGGCATGAGGTTTGCTCTCATGAACATGAAACTTGCTCTAATCAGAGTCCTTCAGAACTTCTCCTTCAAACCTTGTAAAGAAACACAGGTCAGTCAATTTTCTGCATAAATAATGTTTTATTAAGAATTATTTTAACTGAAGGTCTATATATTTTAAAAAGAACACACCCATTTAATCTTCTACTAATTTGTTCTATGGGCCAAGGAATCTATTTGGGCCCATCTGTGATCTTTAAGGGTGCTTCAGTTCTGGCGTTAAAAAGCTGTAGCATTAAAAACATCACATAACATCAATGTAGATTGGCATGGTATGACTATCTGCAGTCTCCTTGAATTTGAGCAAGGTTTAAATTCAGTTTCAAGTCAATTAGAAAGATGGGGAAGTATTTTGCACAATCATGAAGGGCAATTACTATCTTGTTTTGACTTTTGAATGATGCTATTCCTTCCCAGAACTTGTAGAAGCTTTCTCATGACAGTGGCTCCCAACCACTAGCTGTACATTGGAATCACCAGTGAGCTTTAAAAATTCATGACGCCGGGGACATCTCAGAAATTCTAAACTAATTTGCCCAGAGTGTGGCTTTAAAAGCTCCCCAATTGCTTCTCATGTGAAGCCAAGGTGGAAAATGACTAAGGTATTTCTACTGGATATGAAGGACTACCATGGTCCAAGGCCATCCTTACTGACCTTACCTTCCAGTTGCCTAGCTCTATCCAACTGGGCTCCTTTTCAACCCAATTATAACTCTATTAATCTTCTTCCCTTTCTTCTCCTCATTCTGTTCTTATCTTTCAAGACCTAGTTCAATTCTCAAGCTCTCCAAGGTGTCTTCTCGACCTAGTCCAGGGCTCATTGGAGACTATTATCATATAATATAATTTCATAATTTGCCATTAAATCATTGAGTTTTGTTCTCTATATTTTCTCTGTGTCTAAGAATGTCTTCCCCTTATCCATTAACAATATCCTGTCATTTTGTTCCTTTTAAAATATCCCAGTGGTGTCTTGCAAGCGACCTAATCTAATTCAAGCATTTGGTCATTTGGTAAATGTTTAAGGAGTGATGGGCAGTTGACTGGCTTGCATACAAATATTAAGCTTTTTAATGTGAACATTTAACAAATGACATTCATGTATTTGCATGTGTGTTTGTGCTTGCACATGTGCACGTGCCTGTCTGCCTGCAGGGAAAATATATTCATGCCTTTTGGAAAGTTTTAAATAATGAGATATTATATTTATAAAAAGATTTGGGATCTTTTCTCTGAAGAAATTAAAGAACAGATGTCATTTATTCATATTAAGCAAGACCCTATAAATCTTATTTCTAGGTCTCATGTATTTATTAAGCAATTCCACCCCTTAAGCAGGTTTTCTACATCGGAGAGGAAAAAGATAGAGATGATTTCCATATTATTTCCATATTCCACATTATTTGTGACTTTAGGCCAGCTATGTAGCTATCCTGCATGTGTGCTCAGACAGGGGACGCAGCCCTGAGAGAAAGTAGTCCTCTGGCACACCTGGGATGGGAAAGGTAATCACTTGTAAGTTCCAAGCTGGCACTTCTTGATCTCCATGGCAATTTTCTTGGCCATCACTCCATGGAGATCAGAATATCACTCTGCTGTGTTTCCTCAACACTGAAGCAGTGTCTGTCTCAATAAGAATGGGGCTAAAAGTTGAGTCAAAACATTGTAAGAATTGAGAGGTTCCCCACTTGCACTACCCTTGGAAACCAAGAGAAAATGTTAAAAAATAAAATGATGCTTCCTTAAGGTGTCTTCCCATCTTTACACTAGATGGGTTCAATTGGGAGGAATTACTGGACTCTGGAAGTTGAAGACTATCCATAAAATTAAAATGTACAATAACTACCCAGGATTACCTTGCAAGTTTCAACATACACAAAATTAACTTTATATGACTCTTCAAAAATAGTTTGTCATCATGCCTAATAATCTGGTTTAAATTTTTAAAACTCATCCATTTTACCTAAAATTTAAATCAAAAAGAACATGGATTCCCATGAATTTGTCTGAGGTCAGCCGTTGCACAGAATAGGTGCTCCATAAATATTTTGTTAAATGATAGATGATGAATGCTCTCACTATCCAATCTTTACACATCTTATAGAGTAAATATAAAGAATCCAAGATTTATAGTACTGAAAATAGTTTTTATATGTTTACAAAGCATTAATGTCATTAATGCACTTTTTTACTTTGATGCTATACTTTCTACTTTTGCTTTATTTAATGCTACTCAATATGCATATTTAACTGTTGTAGATCCCCCTGAAATTACGCTTAGGAGGACTTCTTCAACCAGAAAAACCCATTGTTCTAACGGCTGAGTCAAGGGATGAGACCGTAAGTGCAGCCTGATTTCCCTAAGGACTCCTGCTTTGCTTTTCAAGAAAGCTGTGCCCCAGAACCCCAGAGACCTCAAATTACTTTGTGAATAGAACGCTGAAATGAAGATGGGCTTTATCCAATGTACTGCATAAATAACCGGGGATTCTCTGCATGTATTGAGCTCTCTCACGGTCTGTATAGAGTGTTATACTTGGTAATATAAAGGAGATGACCAAATCAATGCTGGAGAAGTAGATTTGGCTTCTCTGCTTCTCATAGGACTATCTCCACCACCCCCAGTTAGCACCATTAACTCCTCCTGAGCTCTGATAACAGAAAACATTTCTCAAAAACTTCATCCACAATCATTAATAAAAATAACAATTATTTTGATGGCTCTAACAGTGACATTTATATCACATGTTATATCTGGAGTATTCTATACTAAGTTTTATATTAAGCAAATCGATAAAAACCTCTTTACAAAAGTATTATCAGATAATCTCCTGCATATTAATGAGAAATCTATAGAACTGAATGACTGAGAACCAACAAGTAAATATTCTGATCATTGTAATCACTGTTGATGTGGGGCCTTTGTCAGAACTCCAATTTGATTATTAACATAGGTGAGAGTTAATCCACTATGACTTTGCCCATTGTTTAGAAGGAATATTCATAGTTTAATTATGACATTTTTGACCAGGCACAGTGGCTAACACCTGTAATCCCTGTACTTTGGGAGGCCAAGGTGGGTGGATCACCTGAGGCCAGGAGTTCGACACAAGCCTGACCAACATGGCGAAGCCCCATTTTTACTAAAAATACAAAAATTAGCTAGGCGTGGTGGCATGCGCCTGTAATCTCAGCTACCTAGGAAGCTGAGGCAGGGGAATTGCTTGAACCTGCAGTGAGCCAAGATTACAGCACCGCACTCCAGCCAGGGCAACAGAATGAGACTGCATCTCAAAAAAACATTATGCCTTTTTGTAGCACATATATTTTGTAACATACAACTGAAGCCATTATTATATCATTAGTCTCAATTTAATGTTTTCAACCCATCTCCCTTGATATTTCAGGGAGACAGAAAACGTTTTCTTACACCTCTTGCATTTCGTCCTCAACTCCCAACTGTCTTAATGCAAAGAACACTTAATAAAAAACAGTTCATTGGTCAATTCATTGGGCAAAATGGCTAAATTTACTCATTCCTTTTCTTTTCCTATTTCTCCCTTTATTTTCCCTTTTGAATAATTTAGTCCTAGAGCCATTAGGTGGGTGGCAGCCAGATGGTGGCCACACATTAAGGTAGAGAAGAGAGTCATGGTGATTCCAAGTCAGAGACCAAGTAGGATGAGGACCAAGTGGGTGTCCATGTGGAAACAGCCTGCCTGGGTGTGGGAGTCCAAGCAAGCAGAGAAAGGGTCCACACAGAGGGGTGGCCTGCAAGAGCAGCCAGAGCCTAAATATGGCATGGAGAACCCACACGAGATGAGGTGGGCATCCATGAGTGGGAAGGGATGGGCAAGATTTGGCTACATAAAGGGAATTGATCAAATATGTAAATATATTATGGATGATGGAAGCCAGGCTTCTTACCTTTGCAGAAGGGAGTCATGGATTCAGAAAGGGAGAAAACTAGCATGAATCCTATGAAATTAGATTGGAGTGGAAGTGTTCGTGTATATTCATACTCTTCTAGATAGATAGAGGTTTAGATAGGTAATAGATAGATAACAGATCAATGACAGATATAGACATAAATGTATACATGTGTTTGTGTGCATGTACGAAAAAAAAACCCCATATATTTCCTAGTTCTCTCCACTGATAGGGCTAGGTAACAATGACATTTCAATAGCAATGAGCACACTTAGTGCCAAGATCTTGGCTTATGAATACCGTTTTCCACTGAAGGGAACCAGAGCTCTTTAGAGAAATGTCTGATTCCAGGGCCAGGGTTAAGAATGTTCAAGACAAGCCTAGGACACATTTTGTGCCAGGAAGCAAGAAAATGTTCAAATGATTTCCAAGTAATGTTTGGAAATGATATTTGAAAAAGACTTCCAAATGATAATCCCAAATGATTTCCAAATGATACTTGAAAAAACGTAAAGACTCAACCAAAGAACTATTAGAATGGATAAACATATTCAGTAAAGTTGCAGGATACGAAATCAACATACAAAAATCAGCAGCATTTCTGTATGTCAATAGTGAACAATCTGGCAAAAATAAAAAAGTAATCCCATTTACAATACCACAGTTAAAACTAAATATCTAGGAATTAGCTTAATCAAAGAAGAGGGCGATGTCTACAATGAATACTGTAAAACACTGATGAAGGAAAATGAAGAAGACACAAAAACAGAAGGACATTCCATGTCTACATATTGTAAGAATTGATATAGTTAAAACTGTCCACACTACTCAAAGCAATGTACAGATTCAATGCAATCTCTCAAAATACCAATGACTTTCATCAAAGAAATAGAAAAAAAAATCCTAAAATTTCTATAGAACCATAAAAGACCCAGAACAGCTAAAACTGTCTTCAGCAAAAAGAACAAAACTGGAGAAATCATATTACCTGACTTCAAATTATACTACAGAGGTATAGTAACCAAAACAGCATGGAACTTGTATAAAAACAGACACATTGACCAATGAAATAGAATAGACCACCCAGAAACAAATCCACACACCTATGGTGAACTCATTTTCAATATTGTTGTCAAGAACATACACTGGGGAAAAGATAGTCTCTTTTGGAGCTGGGAAAGCTGGATATCAATATGCAGAAGAATGAAACTAGACCCCTATATCTCACCAGACACAAAAATCAAATCAAGGTGGATTAAAGACTGAAATCTGGCTGAGCATGGTGGCTCATGCCTGTAATCCCAGCACTTTGAGTGGCAGAGGCGGGCGGATCACTTGAGGTCAGGATTTCAAGACCAGCCTGACCAAAAAGGTGAAACCAAAAAATTTTTTGGTAGAGACCATCTCTACCAAAAAATACAAAAGTTAGCTGGGCATAGTGGGGCATGCCTCTAGTTCCAGTTACTCAGGAGGTTGAGGTGGGAGACTCACTTGGACCCAGGAGGCAGAGGTTGCTGTGAGCCAAGGTCATGCCAATGCACCCCAGCCTGGGCAAGAGAGTGAGACTGTCACAAAAAAATAAAAAGGGGGGGTGGTCAGTTCCAAGATGGCCGAACAGACACAGCTCCAGGCTACAGCTCCCAGCATGAGCGACACAGAAGATGGGTGATTTCTGCATTTCCAACTGAGGTTCATCCACTGGGGTATGTCAGACCGTGGGTGCAGGATAGTGGGTGCAGCCCACCCAGCGAGAGCCAAAGCAGGGTGGGGCATCGCCTCAGCCAGGAAGTACAAGGGGTAAGGGAATTCCCTTTCCTAGCCAAGGGAAACCGTGACACACAGCACCTGGAAAACCGGGTTATTCCCAACCTAATACTGTGCTTTTCCAGGGGTCTTAGCAAACAGCACACCAGGAGATTATATCCTGTGCCTGACTCAGAGGGCCCCACACCCACGGAGCCTCCCTCATTGCTAGTGTGTCCAGAATTGGTGGGTTCTTGGTCTCACTGACTTCAAGAATGAAACTGCAGACCCTCACAGTGAGTGTTACAGTTCTTAAAGATGGTGTGTCCAGAGTTCGTTCCTTCAGACATTCAGATGCGTCTGGAGCTTCTTCCTTCTGGTGGGTTCATAGTCTCGCTGTCAGGAGTGAAGCTGCAGACCTTCGCTGTGAGTGTTATAGCTCATAAAGGCAGCGTGGACCCAAAGAGTGAGCAGCAGCAAGATTTATTGCAAAGAGTGAAAGAATAAAACTTCCATGGTGTGGAAGGTGACCCGAGTGGGTTGCCTAGCTGGCTGTCTGGGGCAGCCTGCTTTTATTCCCTTATCTGGTCCCACCCACATGCTGCTGATTGGTCTGTTTTACAGAGAGCTGATTGGTCTATTTTGACAGAGTGCTGATTGGTGCCACTTACAATCCTTGAGCTAGACACAGAGTCACAGTGTTAGTTAGCTAGATACAGAGTTAGCTAGATACAAAGTACCAATTGGTGTATTTACAAACCTTGAGCTAGACACAGAATACTGATTGGTGTATTTACAAACCCTGAGCTAGACACAGAGTGCTGATTGGTGCACATACGATCCTCCCACTAGATATAAAAGTTCTCCAAGTCCCCATCCAGTTCAGGAGCCCAACTGGCTTCACCCAGTGGATCCTGCACCAGGGCTGCAGGCAGAGCTGCCCGCCAGTCCCTAGAGCGGCTGCACTCCTCAGCCCTTGGGCTGTCCATGGGACCTGGCGCCACAGAGCAGGGGGCAGTGCCCCTGGGGGAGGCTCAGGCTGCCCGGGAGCCCACCACAGCAGGGGAGCTCAGACATGGCGGGCTGCAGGTCCCGAGCCCTGCCCCTCCGGGAAGCAACTAAGGCCTGGCGAGAATTTGAGTGTGGCCCCGCCTGCCGGCACTGCTGGGGGACCCGGCACAACCCCTACAAATGCTAGCCCGGGTGCTAAGCCCCTCACTGCCCTGGGCCTGCGGTGTCCGCCATCCTCTCTGTGCGCCAGGCCAGCTGCACCTGCAGGGCTAGCCACGCCCATGCCCGCCTCCGGAAACTCACACCGGCCTGCCAGCACAGCCTTGGTTCCCACCACGCCTCTCCCTCCACACCTCCCCGCAAGCAGGGGGAGGAGACTCCCGCCTCAGCCAGCTCCGAGAGGGGCTCCCAGGATGCCGTGACGGGTTGAAGGGCTCCCCAAGTGTGGCCAAAGTGGAAGCTGAAGCCAGAGGCGCTGAGAGTGAGGGTTGCTAGCATATTGTCACCTCTCACTAGCACAGCAGTCTGAGATCTAACTGCAAGGTGGCAGCAAGGCTGGGGGAGGGGCGTCTGCCATTGCTGAGGCTTGAGTAGGTAAACAAAGCCTCCAGGAAGCTCGAACTGGGTGGAGCCCACCACAGATTAAGGTGGCCTTCCTGCCTCTGTAGACTCCACCTCTGGAGACAGG